TCCCCCTCCAGCTCCACCTCTACCTTCACCTGCACCTCCAGCTCCAGCAACTCCTCTAGCTCCAAGGCCCCTCACCTCCTAAAGACCCCTCTTGGTGCAAGGCTGCCACTTTGTCCCCTGCTCTCAAGGCCTGGGCTGCAGAGCTTGGCAGAGGCATCCCAGTGGACTGGGCCAAGGAGCAAGACCTTCAGGATCCAATGTGACCAGAAGCTGCAAATGGAGTGGGCCTGGGGGCCAGTGGAGAGCAGGTGGCTGATGAGCAGCCGAGCTTGGATCTGGGTCAGCTGGGGATCCGGGCCACCTCAGGACAGCAGGGGGTGTTGGGGGCAGCCAAGCCTGGCCAACTCCATAAACAAGGACAGCGATGCCCAAGGACAGTGGCCCCTTTCTCCCTCGCCCCCTCGGCACCTTCTTGTCGGCATGATCCCATGCAGGGTCACTGCCCCCTCCTCCCTGGAACCTGGAGAACTGCCTGGGGTCTGGTGTCCGAGCCCCAGATGGTGCACTGAAGCTACCGGGCCAGGCTCAAGGCTGCCCACCCTCCCCAACCCTGGAGGCAGCCAGGGTCCTGTCCCAAGTCCTGTGCTGCACCGAGGAAGGCCAGGTAGGGTCAGCTCCATCCCTGGGCCTCCAGGGGATGTGCAAGTAGGTTCAAGGTTCATGGAGCCGCTGAGCTCACCTGGGTGCAGGACCTTGCCCCACCCCATGCCCGCCTGTCCCCACTTCCCTGCAGCTTGCCGACTGCCCTCTTTCTGCTGCACATAACCCACAAGGAGCTATTTAAAGCCGGCCTTTGTGACTGCCTGGGGCACCCACGCGGCGAGGCCCACCCGGGCAGGAGCCTTCGCCTGGTTCTGCAACCAGCAATCACTCCCTCCAGCCTGCAGGCTGCTATTTCTGCCCACATATTTACAGGGCCAGAAAAAAGGGACGGGAAGGGCTGGTGCTTTTTAAACGCTGAGTTCTATTCCGGTGGTGATGAGATGGGCAGATTGAAGGCCGGGGCGGATCAGGTTTGCAGCTGAGCGGGGCCAGCTTGGGAAGGAGATGTCAGCAGTTCCTGTGTCAGAGGCATCTGGGCCGGGTGTGTGTGTGGGGGGGGTAGGGGGGCTGCCTCCGGTTGTGCCTCCTTGCAGCAGGGACAGTTTGGGGGGGCTGGTGGCTTCCTGGTCTGTTGTCTCTGGCAGGGGCTGGAATGTACGTGGCCAATGCAGACTTTGAGATTCCTCCCTGAGAGCTGGGACAGCTCCTCCCCAAGTCTGGAGGGTCAGGGGCAGTGCCTGCAAAGACCTTATTTCCAAATAAGGACTGGGTAGGCATGAATCTGGGGGTCACACTGTTTAACTCAGTATAGGGGGTGATATCCCAGAGGCAGGAGTGGAGGAAGAGGAAAAGCTGACAAGGTGTTTTACAACCTGGGGCACTCGGGTCCCAATCCCACCGGGGAGCCTCTGCCCAACACGTGGAATGCACCTCTGAATTGTCCTTTTGAAGAATGAGGGGCTGGGGCATTTGTCACCCACTGCCATCCCAGGGCCACCTGCCTGCAAGCTCAGGGCAGCCCTGCGGCACTGTGGCAAGTTCTAGAGGGGCTGCTGCTTGCAGCAGGTCAGTGCAGGGGCTGCGGCACGGGCACCACAATGGTGGGGAGTCATCCCTGCAGTGCTCACATCTGCTCAGGACATTGCTGGTTCCTCAAGGTGGTGGCTGTCACGGTGCCACCAACAAAGACAACCCCGGTGGGCACGAGAGGCCACAGTCCCTCCCCGTGGCTGCAGGTGCTCCTGAGAGTCATGCTGTCCCCCCACCGCCCCCGTCTGTCCCTGCCCAGCACCTCTGCTTGCTTCGGTAGTCTCCTGGTCCCGAGGGCTGAGCCTCGGCTGCCTGGCCCTAGCCGGACTGTGTGTTGCTGCGGTGACCCACTCTGTGCCACGGGTGTGGAAGCCCCGAGAGGTGAATCCTGCAAAACTGAAACGCAAGCATCCCGCTCGGATTTCTGGCCGCTGGAGGATTCCCACTCACCACTGCTCCTGATGGGCACTTTGCAGTGGGGCAGGGCGGCACAATGGTCCAGTGTCGCCTTCACCCAACATGTCAAACTGGCACAGGAAGGAGGTGGCATCCCCCCTTCACTTGATTGTAGGGACCCCAGCCCCACATGAGGCCACAGATTTCAGCTGGGGGAGAGGCGTTGAAGCCATGGGAAAGCTGACCTGGGCACCTGGGCCACCTTTTCTGTAACTTTTTGACCCTCGAGACTCGCTTGATCCTAAGCCAAGTGATGCCTTTCCACGGTCTGCGGACAGCCACTGTGCCCACTTAGCAATGCCCATGGCGGGCCGCTCTGGGTACGTCTCCACTCCACATCCCATGGCCAGGTGCTGTGGTCCTGGTTGGTGCCAGGACCCAGTCTCTTCTTGGGAGCCACTTTTCATGGGGGCAAATAGCTCTTTGGTGTGGGCCTTGCTGCAGAATCCTAGGGGCCCTTCCATGACACTTTCCGACAGGGGCTGGGCAGAGACCCACCACCGGCCTCTCGAGCACCACTGGACTTCCTACCAGAAGGCCCGAGAGACAGGAAGACTGGCACCCAACTGGCCCTGCTGGTCACAGCAGCGAACCGGACGGGAATATGAAGGGGGCTCCACTCCCGAATTCTTTGTGTCTTTGAGGTTGGCCTTAACATCTGTGCTACCACCTGGAAGGAGGCGTCCCTCTGAGTCACTCTCTGCCGGAGGTGAGGGCAGCTTCACACCGTGGCTGGCCTTTCGCCATCACAGGGCGCTCGCCCCACAGGACAGGGAAACACGACAGGACCCTGGCAGTTGCCAAATAAATCCACCCATGAGGAACGTGGGGACCTGGGAATGACCGCAGGATGCATCCACAAACCCACTGAACCGACTCCGAGGGGGACATGGGCCAGGACTCCATTTACCATTGACATCCATAAGCCTTCGTGCTACCTGGGGGCCAGTTTTGACATTTTCGGTTTCTTGGTATCATTGTCAACTCAGACCCCGTATCCAAAATCCTTCAAAACTGTGGGTGTCCTTTGTCCAGAGCAGAGTTCCCCTAAATGGCGGCAGGAAAACTCTGGGGGGATCTGTATCATGAATGTGCGTGTGGTAGTGAAGAGCCCTTCTGGGAGGAGACCCAGCCTCTCTTCCACAACAGGGGTCTGGATTGGAGAACTGGCTCACCTGGGAAGGAGACCCAGTTTTCTTTCTTTTAGTTTTTTTATTGGTATGTTAATCACCGTACATTACATCATTAGTTTCTGACGTAGTGTTCCATGATTCATTGTTTGTGCATAACACCCAGTGCTCCACGCAGAACGTGAGGAGACCGTTTTCTGTCGCGGCTTCT